ACCTCTGAGGCTAGGAATAATATGTATTGATTTAATTAAGCTCGTCCCACGCTAAAATACTGTACCACGTGTCGCTTTCATATATTGACCCGTAACAAGCGACATTAGCACATTCTTAACATTGATAGAACAATTAAATTTCAAGCCAAATTACCTCACAAATTCTGGAGAGATTGCATTCTTACTGCTACGCATCTCATAAATCGAACACCTACCACAGTCTTTGTAAATATATATCCCTATGAGATGCTCTATTAGGCTAAACCATCTTATACACACCTTAGGGTCTTTGGTTGTCTTTGTTCTACTTCTACTCTTAAAAGAAACTGAACCAAATTTGATCCAAGGCCATGATTTGTATTTTTCTTGGTTACTCTTATGGTATGAAAGCATACAAATTATACAATCTCCAAACAAATACAACTTTTGTCTCAAAAGACGTTTCTTTTCATGAAACAATATTCCCTTTCCATCACCCTACTTTTCTCAACTCTGTCATATTCTACTGATTTCCCACAACATGATCAAACTTTCTTTCCAGCACAACCTCATCAACCAATTGATATTTCACTTCCAACTCCAGACTCAACTCCAACACATGTTCATGTTTCTCATTTACCTGATCATTCATCAACTTCAGATATTCCTAATGAAGGAGCCTCACCTGTAATAACTCCACCTTAGGCATCCCCTTCACCACATATCATACCTAATCCCAAATCTAATAGGCCTAAGTAAATCCCATCATATCTCCAAGATTTTCATTACAATTTGTTAACTCAAACGCTTATTCCCTAGTCAGATTCGATGGCAAAAGGTTCTGAATCTGGAAAACAGTATCCTATCTCAAACTGTTTGGGTTGTGGACTGTTGTCTCTTGTACAAAGAAACTACACACTAGCCTTATCTATTTTATATGAACCTTGGTCTTATGCTGAAACCTCGAAGCATCCAGATTGGTGCAAAGCCATGGATACAGAGTACCAAGCTCTTGTCTCCAACAACATTTGGATTATTGACAACAAGTTGGCCTGCAAATGGATTTTCAAAATTAAGCTTAATTCAGATGGCACAGAGAAAATGAATAATGCTCGATTTGTAGCTCAAGGTTTCATCCAACAAGCTGGCCTAGACTATGAGGAAACATTTTCACCTGTTCCTAAATTGGTCACAGTGAAAACTCTCCAAGTTGTTGCACCTCAAAAACAGTGGCATCTTCATCATCTAGGTGTTAACAATGCATTTCTTCATGATGAGATAGATGAAGAAGTTTACATGTTGATACCTCCAGGTTATGAGTAGCAAAGGAAAAATGGAGAACAGTTGGTTTGCAAATTAAACAAGTACATCTATGGGCTCGAAGTGGTTTTAAGGCAATGGAATACTAAGATATTCATACATTCCATTACAAGGTTTTAGGTAATCAAGATCTGATTACTCCTTATTTAGCAAACAAAATGGATGCTCATTCACTGTGCTTTTCATCTATGTAGATGACATTATTATAGGTGGCAATGACTTATCTTACATTGAGCTGTTCAAACAGGGATTGAATGAACAATTCAGATTAAAAGACATGGGGATTTTGAAGTATTTTCTAAGACTTGAAGTGGCAAGAACTTCCAAAGGTATATCTATCTGCCAAAGGAAATATGCACTGGAGATTTCGGCAACTAAGCTAGCAAATAGTATTTTATCACATAACTTGAAGCTGAGTAAGAATGAAGGAGAAAGAATTGTAGATACAAGTATATAACGGAGTCTAGTGGGAAGGATACTATACTTGATAATAACAAAGCTTGATTTGTCAAATACAGTGTAGGTTCTTAGTCAATTTCTTAAGTTACCAAAACTACATCATGTAGAAGCAGATCATTTTGTGTTGAGATACTTGAAGGGTACATCTAGACAAAGCTTATTCTTTGAAAGCAAATCTGATTTACATCTCAATAGATTCTGTGGTGCAGATTAGGCTACATGTTCAGATGCAAAAAGATTTGTTACTAGTTGTTACATATTTCTAGGGAATTAGTGTCTTGGAAGTCTAAGAAGCAACATACAATTTCAAGATCATCGGCTGAAGCGGAATATCGATTTATGATAGCTGCAGTTTATGAATTGAGCTAGTTGAAGAATATACTCAATGACTTAAGTGTTACACATACTAAAGCAGCATTACTGTTTTGTGATATCAATCTGCCATACATATAGCCAACAATCTTGTGTTTCATGAAAGAACAAAACAAATAGAAATTGGCTGTCATCTTGTAAGAGATAAGGTGCAAGCATAAGAAGTGAAGATGCTACATATGTCATCACAAGATCAAGTGGCATATTTGTTGACTAAGCCTTTAGGGGGAGCCAGGTTCAAGTCATTGTTAAACAAGATGGGAATTTTAAACATATATTCTCCATCTTGAGAGGGAGTATTGAGCTGCTTAGCATAGGGATACTCAAGTCTTTGTACATTTTCTTGCTCTTGTAAAAGTCAGTTAACCGCATTCATTCATATATATGTGCTTGTGCACTTCAAATCAGTGCTTAGTGGAAATAACAGAAGTTGATGCCATTTTTATTTCATCTTCCAATTCTAGTTTTCTTCACTGCAAACTTATCAAGGTCAACAATGATTAAAAACTAATGATCAATTATATCAATCGTCATCTAATTGCTGGATCGGTTCTACTGCAATTATAGTTTTGCTGACATTGTGTGACATGGTACACATTTTCGCCATTGAATTTAACAACACTTAACACAATCAATAGTTCGATTTTGACACTTCGCTTAATGTCAAGGAAGATGTACATTTTTAATGTACAAATAGCTTAATCCTTGCTAGATTTATCCATTCTGGAGTGTCTTTAGATTGAATCGTTGAAGGGTGGCTTGGTGTTAACTCACAATGACAAAAATGATATTTGGTCCTGCATTGCTACAAAACTCGTATAATTATCCTCGCAACTAATTCCTCTTCCAAATGCTCCAGTTATTCATTAATGTGTTCATAATTTGCTATTGTTTCTGCCATATAACCCTCTTTCGCTAAAGTCCATTGTCCCTGTGGTAAACTAGTCCAAAATGTAACAAAATTTTGCTACGTCATAAAAACAAATAAAAGGATGCGGAATTTGACAATTACAATTTTTTCATGATTTTCATTTACAACAGCGCTATGATATCTTTTGTTATGTCCAATTTCTCCACATTTACCATCGTACGTCATTATCATAAATCTAGGCTCTTCCAGACACGAGGCCATAGCATAGGACCTCAAGATTTGAGGGCTTTCAGAAAAATAATAAAAGCCCAACAAGTTTTTTCCTTTATTTAGCCTTTTTTTTTTAGCTGGATCCTCCATTCCTTTGAAAAGTGATGACACAACCACAAAATGAAACAAAATAAGAGGCTCAATTCACTTGGGCAATTACATTCGGGCTTAAGACAATCAACCCATATGAACAATTTAAACTATTATTTAGTGCTATATTTTGTTGTGTTTTGATTTAAAGAAATATCTCATATAAATTTTTGTTACACTTATATAAAGTTTCTTTAAATCTTATGAAAGTGTTGTCGCCAAAAAAATGTCGTGACTTGCACATGGCCAAAGATCCTGCGTTGGATGACTGGCATCAATTAATTGTATTAAATGGATTGGGTCAATTGAATCAAAGAAACTTGTTATGAATTAGGCTCGATCCATTAGCTCCACAGCCCATCTTGGCTGATTCAATCCTCTATAAATATACAATGTAGTTCCACACTTAGGCAGATTTTTTACTTCATCTAGTCACTCTTCGTCTCCTATTTTCCCTTGCAGTCCCATATATCATTATTCCGATAGTTAATTTGATCGTCGGAGCGTAAATGGTCGATGGACATTTTGTCTTTGATCGACGATATTTGCCACCTAACTGCGAGTTCAATATGCAGGCTGAGCTTAGGTTGAAGGGGAGGCGACACAGAGTGTTGTTGGTCACACGATCGATAAATTTTTGAGATCAACATAAATTTAAAAATAAGTTATTTATTTTAAAATGACTCCTTTCATTTTTGAAAAGCTATAGAGAAATTAGGCTTGAATCGCGGTCATAGTTGATGTCAAAGAGATTGTTAGTTAGCTGCGTTTGTGTATATAATATAAGGGTCTCGTAATAATTTGTCATCTAAAGCCTCAAGACACGTAAGTTGGCCAATGAGCAAGGTGAATTGTAATTTATTAAGGCTGATGCCCTATGCCCAAGTGAAGGAGAGATTGTCATAATTATAAGACTCCATTCAACACACTTCAAGTATACTTGTGGTGTTACCTTTAACTATTTTTGTTATAATGGACAAATCACAAATTCGAATAGTAAATCAATATTCAACTCCACAACTTTTAAGTATAAGGTGTCAATTCTTATACATTGTTTGTGAATAAATTATTTATAATCAAAATATAAGTTGTGTTATACAACACTTCTTAATTTAAATATCCAACTTATATTATCGCAAATAATCATAGATACTTTAATTTGCATGCTCATTTTTAAATGAATGCAATAAATAAATAAAATCACAATTTATATATTAGAAAATATAATTAAAAAAATATACTATATGAACTACAATCCAACACCTTAACCACAACAAACAACAAATTAGCCATTCAATGGCGATGACGACTAGAAACTTTCACACAAGCACTTTCACGATGGCTATGCAACTGTCGTAAGTCGTATAAATCAATAGCAAATTTATTACATAGCAATGATCCACTAGCAATGCCTACACGAAGGAACAACCTTTATACAATTTTTTGAGTGTCCTAAAATGGATTAACAGACCTCTGAATCCTTACCAGTTCTTTTGCCACATCGATTATCTCTGGCCTATCTGCTCCTATGTCACGAGTACATCTCAAAGCAAGTTTCGAGAAAGCTTGCAATTGTTGTTCCTGCTCTATTTTGCTTCTCTCCCCTAAAATTGTTGGGTCGAATATTTTACTCAACTCATTCTTGTCAACATGGTTTTTTACGTACTCCGGTAAAAGAATAGGTTGATCATCTACAAGGTAAAGCCTCTGGCCCATAAGACCAGTTAAGAGTTCAAGGAGAATAATTCCAAATGCGTAGACATCACACTTCTCCGTTATAATGCCTGATGTCATGTACTCGGGATCAACATATCCTTTCCTTATAGCAACAACATCTAGTTCCAATTCTACCTTTGATTCTCCAGGAGGCAGTGCTATGCAGAGTGAGAAATCCACAAGCTTAGCAACACCATGATGGTCTATGACAATGTTTTGTTTGCTTAGATCTCTATGTATGATAGGTGTGGGAAATGCAGTATGAAGATAAACGACAACATTTGCAACATCTGTTGCAATTTTTAGTCGATTACTCCAAGAGAGTGATCTACCAATATTATTCTTGAAGTTCCCTTCTTTCCTTCTAAAAAGAAGGTCATGCAGAAGTCCATAACTGATCCCGATTTCATAGATAATAGCAGGTATTTCCAAATCTAAGCAGCAAGCCAAGACCTTCAATGCATTTTTGTGGCGGTTCATCAGCACCGTGATTACCATGTCGTTGACAGCATAGGACGCCCCTTTGTCTTCGGTAGCGTAACCATAAAACTTCTTTACCAGAATTGACCGCTGCTGAAAAATGCCGCTGATGTAATATCCCGTTCCATCCACCATAACCAATCTGGAATCATCACTGCTTACACCGGTGAAATCGTAGTTTGCTGCTTTATTAAGTTCTTCAACGGTGAAGACGCGATAAGGAATATTATACTTACCATTTGAGGAGGCAATAAGCCCTTCTAACAGCTTGCCTCCATTTTCAATATACCAAGGCGATAATTTTTCATTCCTCCTTTTCAAGAACCTTATCTTTCTTTTCACCCACTCCATGAATAATTGCGGTTGAAGAAACAAGCCAAGTGTTCAAAAATCTTCAGAAAGAAAAAGAGTAAAAATAATATTTCGTTGCAGTTGGTAGCAACTTTGAGATCCCAATGAAGGCTCTATTCCAAGCATACAGACAAAGTGGCAATAGCTCAATGAAAATCATCTAAGATATTTTGTTTTAGACTTCTCTTTCCCGGAATCATCCGGGCTCTTTCCCGGTGGTTAAACGCAAATTAAGAAGAGTTTTTCTATTCGTCCAGGGCATAGCAAAACTCTTGGTTTCACACATCTTTTTCCCAGGTCTTGCACGCAGACTAAGGATTTGTTTGACATTGATACAAGTTTTATTGAATTTGATGATGAAATATATGATTAAAATATGAATAAAATTATTTTTTGTAGTTTATATTAGTTGTTGACAACGTTTTAATAATTTTACTCACTCCGTTCCATTTATATATGCTCACTTTTCTTATTTTCTTGTCCCAATAATATAGTA